GACCCCCATTTGACCCCCTGGGGCAAAATCAAAATTCCGAAAGCTTACTGCACATCTACATGACCCCACCAACCATCTCCCAAAAGCTGGTTAGGCTACTGAGTAAAATGTAGAAGGAGTTCAGGGAAGACGGGGCTTTTTGGACAAAAAACGTCATTTTTCGACCCCCATTTGACCCCCCGGGGCAAAATCGAAATTCCAAAACCTTACTGCACATCTACATGACCCCACCAACCATCTCCCAAAAGCTGGTTAAGCTACTGAGTAAAATGTAAGAGGAGTTCATGGAAGACGGGGCTTTTTGACTTAAAAAACGTCATTTTTCGACCCCCATTTGACCCCCTGGGGCAAAATCAAAATTCCGAAAGCTTACTGCACATCTACATGACCCCACCAACCATCTACCAAAAGATGATTAGGCTACTGAGTAAAATGTAAGAGGAGTTCAGGGAAGACGGAACTTTTTGCTTAAAAAACGTCATTTTTCGACCCCCATTTGACCCCCTGGGGCAAAATCAAAATTCCGAAAGCTTACTGCACATCTACATGACCCCACCAACCATCTCCCAAAAGCTGGTTAGGCTACTGAATAAAATGTAGAAGGAGTTCAGGGAAGACGGGGCTTTTTGGACAAAAAACGTCATTTTTCGACCCCCATTTGACCCCCTGGGGCAAAATCAAAATTCCGAAAGCTTACTGCACATCTACATGACCCCACCAACCATCTCCCAAAAGCTGGTTAGGCTACTGAGTAAAATGTAGAAGGAGTTCAGGGAAGACGGGGCTTTTTGGACAAAAAACGTCATTTTTCGACCCCCATTTGACCCCTTGGGGCAAAATCGAAATTCCAAAACCTCACTGCACATCTACATGACCCCACCAACCATCTCCAAAAAGCTGGTTAAGCTACTGAGTAAAATGTAAGAGGAGTTCATGGAAGACGGGGCTTTTTTGACAAAAAAACGTCATTTTTCGACCCCCATTTGACCCTCTGGGGCATAATCAAAATTCCGAAAGCTTACTGCACATCTACATGACCCCACAAACCATCTCCCAAAAGATGATTAAGCTACTGTGTAAAATGTAGGAGGAGTTCAGGGAAGAAAAGTGTGACAGACGGACGGACGGACGGACGGACGGACATGAGTAACAACAATATACCCGAACTTTCTTTAGAAAGTGCGGGTATAAATACCGGTATAATTCTTGATAATTTCTAGGCCTACATATTTTTGGTTTTTAATACTCTTATCCAGGATACTTTTAAAAGATTCTTTACATTTATTTTGATGCAACCAATATAAAGTAAAACTCGTTTAGTACGAACAAGGATATAGCACATTCACGGATATAGCGAAGTTTTTCTGGGTCACGGCAAAATTCTTAACAAGTCCTTGTAAAATATTACGGTTATAACGAACTCTGATATAACGAATTTACGGATATAGCAAAATGATTTTGGGTCCCGTTGAAGTTAAATATAATGAAATTTACATCTTTTACAACGAACTTTCAAAGATCTCAAAATTTGATAAATTGAACTGACTTATCACAAATCTCATCTTCTGTGGGTCGGATCATTAAGGAGCAGTACAATCTGTATGTACAGACAAATAGAGAGACATGAATTTCTTAAAGACAATTAGAGAAAATTAAACCAAGGACATGTGCGCCCTACAGACACCACCGAATCTTACAACCGGCCTCACACAAAGGTACACTAGGTATTGCATATAGGCTAGAGTATTTCTCAAAATGTTCCCATAGTTTACTAACCTTTTGACCTTTATCTGAAATTGAGTCACCTATATTTCCTGTCTTACAGACTCTGAGGACTTTAAATATATGGAGATAGATATATGATTTGTTTGATTAGGGATCTTCACCTCTTTACTTATTTGAGACTCAACTAGCCGGAGCGAGTTTATCACATCTCCATCTACTTCGTTCAGCTTTGGGGTATCATATCCGTTTGTGACGTCAGCTGATGGAAACGTTTTTATGCTTAAAATGATTCATTTTTAAAACATTTTGAACTACATAATGAAGATCCATGGAAAGAAGAAGCAGAAACGCATTACAGTTTGCTAATGATATAAAAAAAACCCATCAAAAATAAATACATTCACACATTATATAATATCTATGTGACGATTCTGTATGTATACACAAGTTGAAATTTTTAATTAATTTCTTCAGCTTTCTGCAAAGCGAACCAACCACAACAAAAATGTTGGCTAGGGAATCTTGTAACTAATACTCGGATGACATTTTATAATAAAAACGCTTTCATCCTGACAAATATATTTACTTTAGGATTGTTTTTAGTAGATACATAGGAAACAAATAAATCATTTTATTCATTTTGGTTGAAAATATGGCTTGCATTGAATACAATACTGAAAACTTTCTTTTCAGACGTGAAGTGGTACCCATTACTTTACAACTTTTTTCAGAATTTAAAGATGCATAGACACATATTTGAAGATAATATTATCTCCAATTTTCTGTATAATATCATGACTTACACATTGCAATAACATTTCACATGAAGATATATTAAAAAATCTTATTTTATCTAAAAGTTTTTAAAACTTAACATTTTTGGATGGGTTTGAGAGACTCATCCTTGCACTTTCACATTTTTTTTCGTGTGAAATGACATTACAATAAATACATGTAAGTCGTGATCATGGTGATATTATACAGAAAATGTTAATTTCAAATCTGTGTCTATGCATCTTTTAAGAGTTTTGAAAGGTCTATTTATACACTCTCTCAATCTCCAAATATTAAACAAAACACTTGTAAATGATTTGTATAACCAGTCATTCTCCTGCCGACAGGTTACATCCGCCGTGTGCTTCTTGGCATTATCGGAAAATAACGGACTAACAATTAGTATGAAAAATGTCAGTCAGCATTTGACTAAATGATAAATTGTGTTTGCTGACAAGGTCACTGTATCAACCATAAAATTAACAAATGACGAATTTAAACGAGACTGCTGATATTCTTGTTTCATCAGCTTGATTGTCAATAGTTTACCTCATCTTAGAAATTGTTCATACTTAGAGCAGGCTTTTGCATTCGAATCAGCTGAGAGATATAAACTCAGTATGCAGTTGATAAAGATATATTGATGCATAAGTAATAGAAGTTGACAATAGAAAAGATAAAGTCACCACGTTTTTCATTGAGCTTGATTGTTAGATTACCATTAACGTCTTTTTCAAGTAAAGTATGAAACAGATGTGTTAGACTCGGTTGTACCTGTCATCTCAAGCTCACCAGGATATATCGTATCGAGATAATAATGGAAATTAAAATTGTTAATTGAAAATACGTCGATTATATAACTAAATGTCGAGTTGAAGGGAACATAGTTAAATTATTGTGGAATCTTCACTGTTTGTGCATGGGTAACGGACATTTCACTGCTTTGTGGGGAGTTATTTCCTGGGAAACATGCATATTTGATTAAGATGAATAAATCAACTGTGATAAACGTTTGTGTATTTCAGTGTTCGAGGGGACGTTAATTCGTTGGCAAGGACAGCACATTTCAAGTAATTTTTTTTAATTTAACTTTCATGGGAGCAAAAATATGCATATACCGCATATAGCTCTTCAAGCAATTCATGAAAATTGACCCTCCCATGATTCCACAATTTTAGTTTAATTCAAACTCTCTACAGAGAAACATTTTCAAGAAACATAATAATTTATTTAAAAATTACAAGGAATAATTAACTATGGAAAAATGTATATAACATGTTCATGTTTGTTATTTAAAAAAAGAAATTGGAAAAAAGTTTTAATAATCAACTCTTACATGTTTTCTTAAAGAAAGCAAATGCATGTTCCAAGAAATTGCTCTAATCTATGTTTTAAAAAATCTCCATAAATTCACAATTGTACGTACAAGTTTAAAAAAAAAATAAGAATAAAAAGTAAACCTAGCTCTAGTATTTTTGTGTATAAATATAAATTTCGTTTGTTTAAATTACATTGTACTACATACTGGTTATAAAATTTCAAATAAAAATTACATCAAATAAAGACTTATAAAATACCTTCAATATAATAAAACTGTTATATCGTCTCTTGGTTTACGTATAAAATATCAAAAAATTATCTTATTATCTGATCATTTTGCAAATAACATTTCATAATTTTACAGATCTACACTGGACAGCTTGTGTGCACCAGATTTATTCCGTTTTCTGCTTCACAGTCACACGGGCGAAGTTCAAAGATACTGTAGATTGGCAAATAATCACGATAGTTTTGATTTCGCTATGTTCGCGATTTATCATTTTTCCGCGAAATTAAAACCATCGTGAATGTCATTATTAGTTTTTAGAAACGTTTAATTGCTTATAAGAAATTTTGAATTAATTTCTTGAATCGTGAAATTAAAACCATCGCGATCGGTACTTTTTGAGAAATCGTGAAATTTTAACACCGGGGAATTAAAACGATTTACAGTACCACGGTCTTCATTACAACTAACAGCCACAATTAAAAAAAAAAATCAAATTAAAAACAAACGAAATTTAGACACATTTAGATGCATAGAAGGTCCTCCATGTATTTGACATTTCATTCACCATGAGACATGCATTACTTTGTAAATATGCACATTATTTAAATTTCATATCATGTATGTAAATCTTCGGAAATTAAAATAAATAAATGATAAATTAATACTAGTAATAAATACATTAAAGTAAATAAATAGAGTTTCACATATGAACATCTTTTATTACAGATACTTCATTACCTGTATGGCATTAAAAGTTTTATGAAGCCTTGTACGAAAAAAGGAAAAAAAAAAGTACTGCATGGTATATTTTCGTTCTTGATTTATTTTTAACCCTTTCGCCCTCGGCAAAAAAAAAGAGGCGAATTGAAAGAAGATATATAACAATTTCTGAAATACAATAAAAAGGCAAAAAAAAAAAAAAATTACCCTGTATGCCTAAATCAGAACCTACCGTTTCGTCCGGGAATTTTTAAGAAGACGAGGCCGTGTCTTTCCTGCTGTTGGAACCTTGTTAATCCTTCGTCTGATTCGTCCTGTATTAAATACGTGTTTTGTTATTTTTGCAGTAAATGTGGGAAAAAAATACATTTATATAACATTTATATTTAAGTATTCTTTTTCCGTTTGAAATGATATCGATTAATGATTTAATGGTTAATGATGGGTTTGTCGCCCGCGTGGCGCAGTGGTTAGAGCGTCTGCTCTAGAGTCGCGAAGTAAGGAGTCAATCCTTACGTCGCGGGTTCGAATCCCACTGCGGGACGTGGAGACCGGTCCTTCGGATGAGATCGTATAAACCGAGGCCCCGTGTCGCAGTAGGTGCTTGCACAAAAAAGATCCCTCACTGCTCAAAGGCCCTGAGTGCCGAGCATAGGACAAAATTTGTAGCCCTCCACCGGCAAGTGGTGGCGTCTCCATATGAGTGAAAAGTTCTAGAGAGGGACGTTAAACAACATACAATCAATCAATGATGGGTTTCTTCAAAGTAAATTTTGCTACGAATACTAGTATTATATTTCATTAATGTTTGATAATGGTTTTTATAACATCAGTTGTTTCAAAATATTTTGTAATTGATGATTTATAAGTGAGCTAAAATTAATTGTTAAATTACTTAAATATGGAATAATTTTTATGATTTGTTATCAATAAATATTGAGTAAGTGATGTTTACTATCAGGTCCAGTGGATTTCCTCTGATGCCGAGATATTTTCGCGGATCTAGCTGTACTTGATATCTGTATTCAAATCGCCAGGTCTTATCGTTAAGGGACTGCCTCACGATGAAGTGACCTAGTAATACAAATACATGAAAGACAATATTAAAAAAAAATTAAACTTAATGTTTGACAATCAAATCGAAAATAATTTAAACTTGTTCTGCATATAAGAATATTATTTGAAAAATGAGTTATCTTACTTTACACATTTCATCAGATTGTTTATTATTGTGCAAATCTTAGAGAAATCGCTAGTGCGCTGCTGTAAACGACACAATAAATGCTCTTATATGTCGTTGATAAATAATTGTATGCACATGAAACAGAATTTATTCAGAAACTTCTAAATGAAAAAAACTTCAGTTGCTTTAGCCTTCAATTCAACATGTAGATACCCTATATCGACAACGTTTTATCATTTAACAATGTTCATTTTCATTTCTATATTGATCGAAATATCCATTTGAACTAGAATACAAGATATCTGACATATCTGTTCATAATTGGATATTTTACAAGAAAAAGTCATAAGTAGTAAACTATCAACACAACCTTTTTTTATTATAAACTTTTCTATCGTCATTTTCCCTTGTTTATGTAGCAATATACCATTAGAATCTGCATATGAAATAAATGCTTTCCAGTTGATTCGAGGCAAGTTATTAACAAATAAATTATGAATCAAGAATATCAACAGTCTTTTTATAGCCATTTTGCAAATCTTTGATCGAAGCAATTACATTGTTAACAAATGCAATCTATAAATAATTATTAGTCGAATGTTAATGGGCGTTTTGCATATAATTTGTAAGGTCATTTTACCCACTGAATTGTCTACGTATTTTCCCGATCGTGACAATGAGCACAAGGCGGATATGACTGGTAAAATCGGACGCTTTCTCAATGGCACCTGATCCCAATTATGATTTTTCGAAGTACGTTATTAATATGCTTCCGATTTGTATAGATATATAATGGCCTTCTGAACTTGATTACTGTACTTTTCATATTCAACAATGTTTTTACACAATACGTATGTTATTTTAACAAATCCTAACTGAAATAAACGACCTTTATTTCATAAATTGAATTTTGAAATAGAAACGGTCTTACATTTACAGTCTCTTAAAAAGTCCGCAGCTTGTCTGCATTGAAGATGTCCTTGGTCGGACACCAGAAACTTCGATTGATTTGGTATCCGCAGAGCTTTAACCGTAAGCCCGATGACGTCAAGTTCACATATGCTGTCTTTAGCATCGCTAAAATAAGAATCAAAAATAATGTACAAACAATAGCAGAAAAAACGATGTTGAAAAGCATGACTCGTCCATGATAAGACTTCCCCCCTTAAGCCTCGTTAAATATATAGGATTTAATTAACTTGGCTATAAAGTGAGACTTCCCTCTAAAGCCTCGCTATATATTGGATTTAACTAACTTGGCCATGAAGTGAGTCTTCCTCCAAAAGCCTAGAAATATATTAATTTAAACTTTCTCTGGGATTGGTTTTAACGTGAGACTTCCCCCAAAAGCCTGGTTATACACTGGAAATTCTCCTGGAAGACGACCGGCTTTGTAGTGAGCTTTCCCTCGAAAGACCAGCTATATCTTGGAACTTGGCTATATTGATACTTCCCCAAACACTCTGGTTATATATCGGAACTTCACCTGGAAGACTGGCTATATAATGAGACTTCCCCCCAAAAGCCAGGCAATATACTGGAACTTTGGAACTTTCCGTTGGACTAACTATAGAGTGAGACTTTCACCAAATCTTTTGTTTACGAGGGACGTTCAATAAATAATGTCATCGAGGCTCGGAAAGAAGCAAAAGACGCTTTTCAATGATTGAGTCTTCATGGTTTTACTTATTAATCTCTTTTGATTAAAATAGATGTCCGTTAAAGTTTTTATTTAATTTCCGATTGTATTTAGAACACATTTTTGGGTATGATCCTTAGTATACTGGAAAATAGCAGATCCAATGATTTCCTAGACTTGTTTTTTTTCTTTCTGAAAGGTGGTTCTTCAAGTTTGGAAATAGAAACAAGTAAAAAGGTGAAGATCTAGCAAATATTGTTAATGTAAAAAAATATTAACTTTCTTTTTATCCCGAAAACCCCTTTACTTTTCAGGGGTGCAGGGTTTGGACACTGTCATGAAGAAATTTAATGTAGTGGATTCCTGATTCTAGGTCCTTCCTCTAATAAACCTTTCGATTTTTTGCAAAAAGATTGCTTTTTAGACTCCTCCAAAAATTAAACTGACTCCCCGAATACGAAATTGAACAACATTACCACTAATATTTAAGAAAATTGCATATAAATCTGTCTTTGTGTTCTTGCATACCTTTGCTCTTGTCGGACCATTGCTGTTTTTATCAAGTACATCTTATGGTAAATTTTGTATTGAGTGTTTTAAGCAATAGATTCATGTTCCATTATCTGTTTGAATATGAAACAAACTTGGATAACTACAGTTACTGATATTTTAAAATAATTGTTAAGACATTACTACACGGTGTCGTTTTCACTCATTTTTCAAAATATAGGGTGATCTTTGAGTACCAAGCTTTTTTTTTAACCGTCAAAGTTTCTTTAAAACATTGTAAACTACTCCCGATATGATGTATATCAAATTTGCTATGTGTCTTAAAGTCAGTCATACATCATCAGATATTATTTGTTGAAATTGGGCAAATAGTATATAAATTGTAATAATTTTTGTTGGCAAGGACGGTACCCATTTTTGATGCCCATTATATATTTTTTTATCATTGAAATCCGCTTGCTTATTTGTCTATCAAACAGGCATTGGTTGATGTAAATGTCACATATTTCAGTGAAAATTTCTTTGGGATTTTTAACGCGTTTTACAGCAGCTTTAATGAAGCTTTTATTTTCACTCTAGTTTACTGATTCTTTACCATTCATTTATAATGCAGTGTCTCGAATAGCCCTTGTTTCCCAGCTTCTCACGATGAAACTATGTGATGAAAAGTGGTCACATAAACTGTTATCAATTCATTAAAGATTCAATAATGAGAGGAAGACTAGGTTAATGTCATATGATTTTTATGTTGTATGTCATCGAGCTAATGACATTATTTATTGAACGTCCCTCGTATATCGGAACTTTCTCTCGAAGACTGGCTATATATTTCCCTTAGGAAAAGACAGTATATGCATGTTGCCAGTTTTTTGTGGAAGTCGTGTCAATGTATCAGATTATGTTTTGTTACATAGTTCTTGTAACATACACCTGACAATTAATAATTTAGGTGAAATGATCTGTAACTTTATTTATTTTTTCCAATTAAAAATAAAATTAAGGAGGATATTTAATTTTTGTATTCTTTCTTATAATTAAATGAAATCACAGCAGGAATTACAAAAAGGAAAGGACATGAACATCTGTGACACAAAGGTTGAGATGTTTGTTTTAAAATTCAATCTAAATCTAAAAAAAATATACTTACTATCTTCTGTTACTACAGCTACAAAAGATATTTTGTTAAAAAGGAAAAATGTTTTTTGTTTAATTAAAGATTAAATGCGATAATTTATATTGAAATAATTTAACACTTTGAAATATCCCTGACATGCATAAGATAAAAATCAGATAAAAATCAGAATGGAATTAGCTAATTGAATTTCTATTTTGCAATTAAAATTTTTTTTCGGTAAATTCTTCCTGGGCAGAAGTGTGATTAACTCACCTGGTTTGATCGCTTCTAGTTGAAAATCAATAAAGGTAAATAGTTTTGTTGTCCTTGTTTATAATACCTGAAGGAAAAAGGAAGAACTTTAGTAAACATTACGCAGAATTTCTCATTTTTGACAAGGTGTAGGGAAACATCCATTTGGGATACTGTTTATGAATCGCTGATAAATAATAACACGATCGTTTTGCATTATCTATGAATATTTACATCCACTGAATATTTTCTCCTTTATTTCTTAAGAAACCCCATTGCGTTCATCACTGCATAAACTACAGTAGGCAGGTCGCCTGTACAGATTTTTTACGCGGGTTATGTAAATTTTTTCTGCAATAGCTGCTTCCGTTCATTCCAGTAACAACAAACAAAGAAAGCATTTTATTGTTTAACTAACAAAACACAGATTTGATACCTCTCATGAAATATGTAAAGAAGACAAACGGTAATAGATTCTAAAAACCTACAAACAATATAAATATGTGTTAACAGAGGATAAAACATGGACTCCCTGGAAATCTCAAAGGTGGAATTAAATGCCTAGGTGGAGAAGGCTTCTCTTGTAGAGCTGTCACACTCACAACCACCATGAACAATATGTATAGATCAGTTAGACAGAATAATAAGTCGTCAAATTTAGTCTAAAAACAAAGGCCTGACAAATCGGTATGAAATCTGACAGTCAAAATTCGATCCAATAAAAGAATTCAGGGATTTTAAGTTTCAAGTTGTATTTACCTTGGCGCTTTTGCTACCTTTTTTTTTTAATTAATTTTCATCAGCAAGTTTGTCAAAAAAAAAAGGAAAGAAAATTAATTTGAATTATTATGTGCTCTTTTCAATTTTAAAATTTCAAAATGTCCTAGAGTTCCAGAACATCCTCTTCACTAAAAGATGGAGAATCCAAAATTTGTGCGGAATTAAGACTTACAAGAATGTTTTTTTCCCTACAAAAGATGCAAAAAACACAATAAATAGAATATGAAAACTTTTATTTACATATTCATTTAAAATATTCATTTAAAAAGAATTAATCTGTAACAAATTTTACCAAATACGAAATACGAAATCATTTTACATCTTTAATACATATGTCTTAACTTTCGGCCTGTCGAGATTTTACTCTTGTTTATTCATTGACAACATCATAATTTAATTAAGATATTGAAATAAAATAATACATTTTCAAGAAAATCAATGAATCATTTAACGCAATGGAATATTGTTAGTAAAATTGCACCGGTAGTTTCTGATATTTTGGCGATAAAAAAAAATATCATAATTCAATTAAGATATTTAAATAAAATAATACATGTTCAAGAAAATCAATGAATCATTTAACGCAATAGAATATTGTTAGTAAATGTAGACGTACTTCACATGGAGAAATTTTGCTAGAATGCCATCGGGATCTAGGGAACAAAATGCATGAAGATATGTCCCGTCTGTCAAGGTAGTTGAACAAAGAAACCCCCAAGTCTGTCCCCTTCGGGTGTATCCTCCCACTGGTGCCTCACGAAGATCTCCGATGAAGGCCGCTCGTCCAGCTGTAGGTGTGAAAAAGAAGATTCAGTGACCCGTGTTCATGAATTTTTATATTTCTATATGTTATTTACTACAAAGGAAAACGAATATAACTT